TAACTTGCTTCTATTCTTCTCCTGGAGTCCTGTGGGCACTTTTATTACCTCAGGCTCAACTTCTCAAGCTTGAATGTGTCTAGGAATCTTCCAGAGGGCTTGTTAGAACACAGTCTGTTAGGCTCAACCTCAACGATGTCTGATTCCACAGCTCTGAGGTGGGGCCCAAGGATTTGCATTTCTCACAAGTTCCCAAGTAATGAAAAGACTGCTGGTCCAAGACTACACTCTGGGAAGCACTGGCCAATGGCAACAAAAGCTTAGCTAACTGGATTGCAAAGTGTGGTGCACTTTGGAATAACTGAGGACTGTTTCAGAATAAATGTGATGCCCGGTTTGCATGTCCATGAATTTTAACTGATAGAAGGCACAGCCTGGGCCCCAGTGCTCGGGAAAGCCCCCCAGGTAAGGCTAACATACATCAAAGTTTGGCAACTGCTGCCCTAGTCACACACACTCTGAATTTTTCTTACCGTTGTCTTCAGCTGCCCATTCCTGAGGCCACAGGTAATGGGCCACTGACCAGTTCCACTCACAGCACCCACCCACATTTCACTCCGGAGTCTCACACACCTCTGCTCTAACTCCCCGAGGCTCTTCCTTTCCTGTCATCTCTTTATCTCCTTCCACATTCAGCCCAGACATAGCTGTACAGGAATTGCAGTTGTAGTCTACCATCAGAAGACACGACCCCATCCTTTCCCTGGTTGACTATGTGCTGAAGACCTTGAGGACCCTATCAAACTAAAGGCAGAGCACCCCAGAGAACCTTCTGGAACTAATGTTTGGTATTTGTTACCATGAGTAACAACTAACAGGTTTTAAAAATATTACCTTTTGTTATAATACAACTATATATTTAAAGAAACACTTAGAAAAGCATAAAGAAGAAAGCATTTACATTACTCTAATTAGCCAGGTTTCACCATTGTTAAGATTTTACTGAGACTTCTCCTTTTCTTATATGCATTGTCTTACCTAGTTGAGAACAATACTACCTAAGTAAACTCATCTATTGACATCATAATCATCACATAAACATGTTTATGATAACTAAATATGTGTGTTGCCATTTTAAAAACAAGGTCTCACATAGTAGCCCAGGCTTGCCTGGATCCTACTTTGTAGTCCAGGCTGACCTTGACTTCTTCCCCCAGCCTCCTAGGTTCTGGGATTATGAGCATGAGCTACCATATCTCACTTGCAGATATTTTAATGGAAGCAGAATTTTCCATCATGTAGATACCATAGCGATTGTTTGATTGTTCCCATGCGGGAAGAAATGTGGTAGCAGGGTTATTTTTTATAAGTGATGCTACAGTGCCTGTGTTTTCATGGACTTGGGTTCTGTCCATGATTTCTCATATAATTCCAAAAGAGTAGCAGAAGTAATGTAAAACTTTCAGACTTATTACATTAGGCAAATTATTTTTAAAACCTGTTCTCCTTATAACATCTTAATTGCAAAGGAACACATACTGCATCTTCTTCTACCAAGCCCTTGGTGGTTTGCTTGATGCCACTGAGGACTGAGTGTCTGGTGGTGACTTGATCAGATGGGCATTTATAAAACTAAATGCCAGAGGCTGAACAGGTTAGAACTGACGTTGTCCTTGCTACCCTACCCTTTGTTCCCACATTCTCCCCTCTCCATTTTCCAACACCATGTCTTCCTCCTTGACTAGAATGCAAATGTTAGATGTACACTGTGCACAAAGCCTTGTCACCAAGGAATAGGAAGGACAGTGCTGGAGGCCTGACTCGAGGGCTACACAACTCGTGCCTCATTTTAGACAGAAGTCTCTAAATAATAATTCTCTTTAGGGAAAAGTTAACTTTCCCTGTGTCCTGTGCCTGTCAACCCCATATATGACCATCTCTGTCCCTGTCTCCCTCCTCCCAACCCAAAAAACCAGCTTGACATTCAACTATCTTTGAAATGTTCTCGATACCAATCGCCTTCAACTTACCCACTCAGCACCAGCTCTCCACACATCTCTGACCTCAAAGTTCAATCTGGACATTTTCTTCACCCCATTTTGTTTCTCCTTCCTAGACAACACTCCTTCAGCAATAGAACACTTTGTATTGCCGGTTCCTAACACAGTGCCTAGAACGTTGCTGCTAACTCAGTCAATTCTGTGAATGAGTGAATGATTCCTGCTTAACTAAGGTACATAGACATTCTATCTTAAACATTAATGAGTGGAGGACTATAAAAGAAAATATGAACATGACACGATTGCCAAACGCTCTCTGAATCATTGGTACCCAAGGTAAAACAGACACCTGGTATACCAGATGTCCCAATTCTGGATTCTGTGTTCTAAACACAGAATCTAAACATTCACTGTTGTTTGTGCCTAGACACTGCCTCACATTCTGTTCTCTTTCATCTTAGTACAAACTTAATGTATACATAAGTATCTCTGTGGCAGAGAAAGAAAAGAGGAGTTGAGTAATGACAGATTTCTTTTTTAAGTATGACACAAAGAAAACTAAAACCTTGGGCTATTTATAGTTATTGCACAAAAGAAGGGCCTTGATGCTTAGTTACTTTAGGAAAGAATGTGGAGTAGATTTCTTTAAGACTTTCTCAGTAGGTATTCTAGAAAGCTGACAGAAAGATAAGTAGGCAGTGGTAGAAAGAGTCAAGAGCAGCTGAATCCTGCAGCCAGGGGTCCGAATCAGGCTTAGGGCTGGGGTGACAGACAGGAGCCACCTCTGTTACACCCGAGAAGGCAGAGTACATATTCAAAACTAAGATGACAACAATATAATAAGCCCCTAGCCCCTTCCCCTACATGTGTCTCCCCAGTCCCACATCTGTGCCAGCCCCTCCCCCACCTGCCCACTCCTGCTGGTGAGATCAGCCTTCATTACAGCTCTTCCAGAGCCAGAAAGCAAGGTACTGTGTGGGAAGTGATGGCTGCGAGGTACTGTGTGGGAAGTGATAACAACTTTAAAGCCATTCAACAAGAAAATTTGTTAAAAGACCAAGACATTGTAAAGCTGAAACACTTGAGTCTATTAAGTCCCCTGCTCCTGAGAACATTTTGTTACCAGGGCATGTTTCAAGGAGGGAAAACACTGAGCCATTGAGCTCTGTCAGATACCAAAGCCTGGTATAAAGTGCAACATTTTCTAAGGCATCTGTTTCTGCCACTGTACCGAATAACTTCTAAAAAGTTTTGCCTTCTCTTCTCTTTTTTCCTCTCCTCTCCTCTTCTCCTCCCCTCTCCTCCCTTCCCTTCCCCTCCTCCCATCCCTTCCCCTTCTTTTCCCTTCCTCTCCTCCTTTCCCTTCCCTTCCCCTTCTCCCCTCCCTTCTCCTCCTCTTCCCTCCCTCCCTCCCCTCCCCTCCCAATCTTTCCTCTCCTATCACAATGCCCTTGGCTTTCCCATCCCTAGAAGTGCTCTATTATGTTTCTCTCCCTCCTCCTCCCTCATCATCTGCATCCTCTTCTCTTGCTTCCTCCCACCCTGCCTCCTGGACCTCCCATAGCCTATGCCATATTCATAGACATTATGAGACCAGCACAAGAAGCTAAGGCTCTGCAATGATCATTCAACCCTCTGTGGTAAGGGAGCTAATTAAGTGACTGGAGAGTTTAAACATTCATTGTTGATTAGCTCCAAACTCCTTCAGAGAGCCTCGGGCATTGTCCTCAACAAACCTTACCCTTTTATGGCTTCTTGTCCCAAGTCCAAATGAGAGCTTAAGGAGGCAGTACGTTTTCAGGGATGTGGAGAATGATGAATTTAAGGAAAATGAAGTGTGGATGGATGCAGAGGAGGAAGCTGTAGGCTTTTCCCAGATGATCTGGCTTGTATGTCCCTTAGCAGCTAATGACTCTCGGTGATCATCAGTTTAGACTTCAGGGTTGACATGTTCATGGTCAGTCCAGTGCTATGGCTAACTGTCTTCATTAGGTATACAGTCATCAATGGAGTGTTCTTTAAACAGCCATCTTCTAAACAAAGAATTTCCTCACTAATGTTAAACAGCACATCGTTAGAGGACAGAAGCCATGTCATAAACAAACAAAAAGTCTTTACAGAGTTTTTTCACTGGTGTCTATGAATGGAATAGTAGCAGGTAGCTTCAATCTGAGAAAATGCACTCTTCTTCCATTGACAAAGGGACTAGACTTTTCTTTAAACTCTGCATCTTAATTTTGCTTCTGGTCTAATTGCACAAGCAGTGACATTTTAAGGTGAGTATTGGACCCAGCACCCAATATTACCCCTGTCATCATTCTCACAGTGGAAAATGGAGGCAGAAACCCAAGCAAAATGGCTCACTTCTCCCAGGCTGGAAATCAAAAGCCATTGCCACCATTGTAGGCAATTGATCCTGTAGCATGGAGCCTGGGATTTGTTGTTGTTGTTGTTGTTTTAACCTGTTTTTCTACTGTGGTCCACAATGGCCTGGGGTAGGTGAAATATGCTTCTCCTTTGCCTGGCTTATGATGGGGTATCCTGAAAGAGGACCTTAAACTTCCTTAGGATGACCACGGAGGGTGGTTCACCAGCAGCTAAACATGAGCCAAATTCAAGGTTACTTATCAGTTGTCATTGACAGAGCTAAAGTGTTGCTCTGACACTAAGAATAACAGACTACAGACTCTTCTACATTCGTTCCTGCCCTGTCTCAACTCAGTATGTCTCTAGATGCTGCATTGATCTATTTCAGAAATAGCTGATTTGTCATTTATGATGGTGTAGATTTGAAGGGGCTTCTTGATGTCAGCCTATTCATTGGATACATATTAATCTTCTAAATCAAAGCTTTAAAAAAAACCTATAACTTGGGGTCTGTTCATAGAAAGGTACATTTTTTTTTTTATATAAAAGTGTGTGACTCAGTATATGAAAGCATTCTTGGATGGGAGATGAGAGGATGCAGATAGACCTGGGTTGTCCATCCGGGGACCAGACCTTCTAGACAGACTGAGTGAGAGAGATGAGTGTGTATGCTTTTTGCTGTTCACTCTGCAGACCTCAGTGACCAGCTCCTTGAAGTGGTGGGTCTAGAGGGAGCCATGGAGATGGGACAGATCTACACTGGCCTGAAGAGTGCGGGTAGGAGGCTGGCCCAGTGCTCCTCTGTCACCATTAGGTAAGTCTCCTTGTTAGCCAGCATCTTTTGGGTCCCCCCTGCCTCCTTGAACATTGAATGTTATAACTAGAAAATTGCCTTTGGATTTCAGGCTAAGGCGAGTTGGGAAAAGAAGCTTGGTAGTTATAAAGAATACTTTGATGATATTCTTTAATTGTTGTTGTATATGTATTTTCCACAAATATCTGCTCAGCCCACATGGTTATTTGTATGTCTATAATTTCAGGGATAACCATTTGGTATTGGTGTGCTCTTCCCTAGGGAAGTCTGTTTCTCCTGCTCTCAGGATTCTTTAGTTGCTTGTAGTTCTTAGTGTAGAGTCGATGCTCCATGAGCTTCCCCTACTCCCACCCACTGGCCATACAAATCAGCATGCCCATTGGTATCCTCCTTGTTGAAGTCTTAGATGCAGCTCTTCTGTTGTTTCCAAGAGATACAATCTCCACAGCAGATCCCTGTTCCTCTGGCTCTTGCAGTCATTCTGCCCCCTCTTCTGGCATGGTCCCTGAGCCTCAGGTAGAGGAGTTGTGTTGGCATTATTTTTTAAACAGGATATAATGCTGTCATCAACCAGAGGGTCTATCATAGCCTCTCCTCTAAACATTGCCTGGTGAGGTAAACATTGCATATATAAATTATATAATATATAATTTATATTATAATATATATACATATATACATATATACATATATACATATATACATATACACATATACATATACATATACATATACATATATATATATATGCACCAGGGCCCAAGAGGTCCAATTCTTTGCCCTTTTCTCTTTATAGTTTTAAATTATTTGATGCATGACAGGAGTCACAGCTGCTCTTCTGTATGTGGATGATAGACCCTATATGCCTTCATATGCTAAACCATTACCATCAAAAAACATCTTGTACTGACCAAGAGGATAACAGACTTTTGGGACATAGGTGACCTGACCAGTCACTGCATTTCTGGACAGTGTGGGGTCTGGTAGAGGAGAGGTTCTAACTTTAGTTCCCTCTAGTTACATGAGCTTTTTTTCTTTCTCAGCTTCTTACTTAAGCTGGCAGTTTGAGAAGTCTTCGTTCTTTTGCTTCTCTCCATTGTTACAGATCATATCTGTTGGTTTGCCTGGGGGATCTTCTAGAGGGAATGCTGGGGTAAAGGGTTTCCCAGAGGCATTTGACTAAAGAATCTTTTCTCCCAGAAACCCTGAGCAAGTGTCAGCGAAAACACAGTTGGGGAATCTATTCTTGGCTCTTCCATCATCCCTTGGTCAGATCTCTCCTGAGTTCCCTGAGTGTCTGTTCCACAGTCCCCTTGTCAGATCCTATCTCTGGATTATCTGTCTCCTCTATTCCCAATACCATATCCCCTTTGTCTCAGAGCCATTTCTGTGGTGGGACTCTTGTTTTCCAGATTGACATCTGCAATCCTCGTCCAGAATTCTAAAACTGATGGGGCCAGTTTGTCCATAGAATGTCACAGCCTTAGCTTTTATAGATTACAGAAAACACAGTGTCCTGGCTGCCAAGGAATCTAAAAAGTTAGGTATCCAGGGGGCTATTCCCAGCAGCCAACAGATCTATTGCCAGATGGAAACAGAGGGCTAAAAGCCCTGTCCTGCTAGCATACCTCAGATGCTTCTCCATCCATAAGTATGCAAAGGCCTCCTTTCTACTCATTTTTGTTTTTATTATTAAATGTCTTGCTTTTATTATGAAATATACTCAGAGTCTACCAGAGAATTATTGTATTGAAATAATGTTTTCCCCTCTTGTTTTGTAATTTTCAAAATAGGAAAGCTGCCAAGCTTGGGAAAGGGCTCCTTGTCCAGTGGGTGGTGACTGTTCACATGCCCTTGGCCAGAGGCCTCTAAAGGACTACCCTCCTCACAAGGCATTGAAAGACAAGTTAGCGTTCTACAGAGCCCACATGCCAACAGAGCCTTTCCCAAGCAAGAGAGCAGCACTTCTTCCTTAACCTCTCCCCCTACACTTGGGGTCACTATTTGTCACTTTCCAAGCAAGATACAGTGTAAACAAACCCAGAGAGTAGCCTGCTTCTGGGAGTTGAGTGCATATGATGATATCCTCTATAGCTTTGAGACTTTTAACTCTTGGATATGTTGCAACCAATCATTCAACGGGGAGAGTAGGCCTTTTCCTACTGCAGAGTGGAGCTTGGCATGAGCCTCTTTCCCTCTGGTTGGTCGCTGGACTGAGGTGTGACTGCTCAGCAGTGAGGCTGCCATGTTTACTGGCCAATTTTCCAGGTAGTTGCGGCTCTCAGTGTGCCCACAAGTTTCTCAAAGGTTTGAAGGTTTGAAGACAGAAGCCAGAGAAATAAATGCCTATGGTAACTAATGAATGACAGGTCCCTAAGCCCAGCCCTAGGCCCAGTCCCAGACCGGCCACATCCAGTCCCTGAGATGGATTGAAGACTATATTTTTAGAAGTTCCCGTGGTCTCTGTGAACCCCTCTCAGTGAGCAAGTGACATCTGCCCACTTCTTCCTCTGTGGTGGGAGTGATGCTGGCTTTCCAACTCTGAGGATCTTACCGTGTCTCTTTGGTTTGGGGGGTTCTAGGACTAACAAGCTTCTACCGATGCAAGTGGATGGAGAGCCCTGGATGCAGCCGCGATGCACAGTGAGTGAGCCAGTCTTGGGGGAGAGAGTGAGAAGCGTGGTTTTGTTTTACCCTTGAACACACTGACTTGTTATAAAATCACTGCATCTCAACGTTAAAAACCAGTAATTGCTGGAATTAGGCAGGATGGAGGGAGTCTCTACTGCTTATGACTCTGATGGACCTGGGTTGAGAGAAACCCATCCAGTCTTGTCCTGTGTCTAAAAATCAGGTGGCCAGGACATGACAGCAATGGTTCAGCACTCACAAGTGCCACTGCTCTTACAGAGGACGCTTGAGTTAGGATCCTACTCACCTGTGTCAGGTGGCTTAGAACTGTCTACAACTCCAACTTCTAGTGGATTCCCTTGGCACCTGCTTCCTTGGGCACCTGCACTCATGTGCTTATGTGCACACTTGGGCGCACACACACACACACCCCACATACATACATACTTTTAAATAGTTAAAGTAAGTCATTTTTTTAAATGACTGGAAGAAATCAAATACCTTCCCCATGTGGCACAGTGATATCATAAGATGGGCTGCCATTCATTTAAATGGAAACACTGATTTTTGAATAAGCAAATCCTTTCCACATCCACAGCACACCCTCCCTCAGGATTACTCTTCAAAAACTACAGCTCACTCTGAAAAATACTATAAACTCCAAAAACTCCTATGTAAGGTGGTATTAGCCTGTGTGTATGTAACAAACATCACAGACTGACCAGCTGGGAGGGGAATGGATGTCTTACATTGGTTTGGTTTCCCTCTGAGCTCAGGGTGCAGGGCAAGCACCCTACTACTGAGTGACCCTCAGCCTTTGGGGTTTTCTTGAAACAAGGTCTTGCTACATAGCTTAGGTTGACCACAAGCTCATAGTCCTGCCTCTGCCCCTCTGCTTCTCTGCTTCTCTGCTTCTTTGCCTCTCTGCCTCTCTCTCTCTGTCTCTCTCTGCCTCTCTCTTTGCTTCTCCCTCTGCCTCTGCCTCCAGCCTGCTGGAGCTCTAGGCATAAGCTGCCAATGCCACCACATTGTGAGTCCACACTGCTGATTTAAACATCTGAAATGTATATATTTTTTTAGCCCTTCTGGAGGCTAAAACCCCGTAAAAGTCTTAGCAAGTCTGGTTTCTGGTGTGGTCTGAATCCACCAAAACTGTTGTCCTTAGACATAGAGGAAGAGCCACAGAGCACACACACATGGAGGGACAATCTTGCACCAATGCAATAGGAAGGTATCAAGTCGGCTGCAAATTAGAAGATGTTTCCTAAAACAAAGGAATATATATTATATATGTTACATGTTATACATATATATATGTTATATTGCTTATATGTTACATATATTATATATTATATACATATGTTATATGTCATGTGCTATCTATGCATTATATATAATTTCATTATACACTGGTGCTAGATACTTTGCTTTACCAAACATAAGAAATCAAATTAATAATAATGATGATTATAGACAAAGTAAATAATGTTAAACCAGTAAATCTAGGACTAGTTCTCTCAACAGGGCAAATCTCACTTTAGAAGAGAAAAGCTGGTATAAGAAATATTAAAGTATTAAAAAAATCTAGCAAATATAATATAAAATTTTAAGGTATATGGGTAATGGTATTACTTAATTATAAAATAATATGTAATTTCGATTCTAATCAATCAACAAAAATTGAAAAAAATCTAACTATTAATGAAATAAAAAATGCTTGCAAAGACTTATATACAAAATGACCTCAAAACAGATGAACTTACCAGGGACAGGGCTCAGGATGCTCTTCCCCTCCCTGAGGATCGGTATGAGGTAGTGGTTTCTGGTAGAAGGCAAGACATTGTGCATAGTCAATGGAAAGTTGCCTGTGGTCCTGTAGATAACCCCTCATTGTGCCCTGTACGGAGTCCTAATTAGACTCGGTGATCCAACCAAACAAAAGACATAGAAGTAGAAGATCTGTGGAACTGGGAGAGGACCAGAGGGGGTCATGGGGTGAATATGATCAAAGTATATTATATGTATGGACATGTCAGAATGAGAGCTGGGGACAGCACTCAGTCAAGTGCGTGTTGCACAGCATCATGACCTGAGTTTGGATCCTGGGCACTTATAACAGCCTGCTATCATCAAGAATGTCTGCAGCCAGGCAGTGGTGGCACACAACTTTAATCTCAGCACTTGGGAGGCAGAAACAGGCAGATTTCTGAGTTCGAGGCCAGCCTGGTCTGCAGAGTGAGTTCCAGGACAGCCAGGGCTACACAGAGAAACCCTGTCTCGAAAAACCAAAAAAAAAAAAATGTCTGTAATCCAATTGCTGGAGAATCAGAGAATCCCTGGAACTCTTCAGCCAGCCCATCCAGCCAAACGATAAGCCATGGACTCAGTGACAGACTGTGTCTCAAAAAGATAGGATAGAGAGTGATAGAAAATACTGATATCAACCCTGGACCTCCACAGCCATGAGTACACACATGCGTGCACACTACAAGTATATGCGTGCATATGTGTACTTTACCTCTTACATACACATATACCCCATGTATACAAATGAACTAAAGTGACTGAAAAATTATACCTAAAAATAGAAAACCATAAAGCAACATGACTCAAAAAGAATATGATGTTAACATTCAAGCCAAGGTATAGCTAGGTCAATAAAATATCAACCCTGAGGACACATTACAGGAATGAAAAGGGAAACCTGCTAGCAATGGCTTAGAGTATTTGCATGATAATGTAAATAGATGACCAAAAGCATTCAATTACATTTCTTTTCTGAAAGATTCATTTTAATTTTAAATGTGTGTATGTGTGTATGTGCACGTGCACACGCATGTGAGTGCAGGTGCCCACACAGGCCAGCAGAGGGCATTGGATCCCCTGGGGCTGGAGTTACAGGTGGCTGGCTGTATATGGGTACTGTGCACTGAACTGGGGTCCTCTGTAGGAACAATAAGGCATCTCTTCAGCCCAGCATTTTGTTTGTTTGTTTGTTTGTCTTGAAGCAAGGTCTCCCTGTGTAGCCATGGATGGTCCAGAATTGCTATATAGACCAGGCTGGCCTCAAACTCACGGAAGTCTGCCTGCCTCCTAAATACGGGGATTTAGGGGGCTTAGGAGTTGCCATGCCTGGCAATGGTTTTTTTAAAATGGAGATTCATAGAATACTAGGACTAGCTAGATGGTGGTAGCCTGCACCTTTAATCCTAGCACTCCAGAGGCAGAGGCCAGAGGATCTCTGAGTTTGGGACCAGCTTGGTCTACAGAATGAGTTCCAGGATAGTCAGGGCTGCACAGGCAGACTCTGTCTCAAATATAGACATACATACATGCATACATACTAGAAGTAGAAAGAAACTCCTTCAAAATAATGAAAACTTTCTGTCAAACCAATAATAAATATTTTACTAAATACAAAAACTTCAGAAAAATTCCCATTAAACTCATAGACAAGAAATAAATGCTAACACTGCTTGGCAGTTCTAGCCAATGCAATATATGCAAAATATAAAATAAATATAAATATTTGGGAAACAAAACTGTCATTATTGTTAGGGATTGGCACCACAGAAAGCGCAAGAACTCAGTGGGAAACCTCATAAAATAAATTATTTCAGCAAAGTCCTACAGGAAAGTAGATAAAAATAGTAGCTTGCATCTATACCAGCAGCTACCAATCCAATGAATCTACTAGAAAAAATATTATAAAAGTAGCAACAAGTTATAAGATAACAGCTGTATTGTAGACAATGAATAAAGATACATATAAGATATAAACAGTTTTAGAAATTGAATATGTAAACCTTCTTAGTTTCTTTTCCTGTTGCAGTCATAAAACATCATGACAAGAGCAACTTAAGGGAGAAAGGGTTTAATTCAGCTTACAGTTCCAGGTTAGAGTCCATCCTAATGGGGAAGTCAGAGGCAGGAGCCTAAGGGAAGTGGTCACACAGCATCTGCTGTCAAGAGCAGAGGGTATGCAGGCTAGTGCTCAGTTTACCAAGACCCTGGGCCTGGGGAATGGTGCTACCCACAGTGGGCAGGGCTTCCTGGCTCTGTTTATAAAGACACTCCTCCACATGCCAACCTGATCTAGACATCAGTTTTTCTGAAATGCATCTTGGATCATGTATCAGGAAGAACCATGGCTGGCTCATCAGTCAAGAGCACTTTCTATTTTGCAGTGGACTCAGATTTGGTTTCCAGCACCCACATGGTGGCTTCCAACCATCTATAACTCCAGTTCCTGGAGATCAATACCTTCTATGTGCTTTTGTGGGTACTACATGCACATGGTGTGCAGACACACAGGCAAAACACTCATAAACATACAATTAAATAAATCTTAAAAATATAGGTACAAATGTCTAAGAATAACAATTTCTTTTTCTTTCTCTTTCTTTCTTTCTTTTGTTTTTCGAGACAGGGTTTCTCTGTGTAGCTCTGGCTGTCCTGGAACTCACTCTGTAGACCAGGCTGGCCTCGAACTCAGAAATCCACCTGCCTCTGCCTCCCAAGTGCTGAGATTAAAGGCGTGCGCCACCACTGCCTGGCAAGAATAGCAATTTCTACTTCATGCAGCATAACAAAAAGTAGAATTTTACGAAAATCCAACCTTTAGTGAGGAGGTGTAAAATTGAATTAATGGGTTTCAGTGTTTCACCTGCATGTACGTATGTGCACTGTGTGCAGGCCTGGTATCTTCAGAGGTCAGGAAATGATACCAGATCACCTGGAACTGGAGTTACAGAGAGTTATGGGCCACCATGTGGGTGTGGAAAACTGAACCCAGGTCCTCTGCAAGAGCAGCAAATGTTCATACCACTGAGCCATCTCTCAATCCCTATTGAAAAGTTTTAAATAAGCTACATGATATTCACCAAATGGAATAATTAGTAATTTTTAGACATTGGAAATATAATTTCATAAAATTTTAAGGGCTGGAGGTGTAGTGCAGGTGGGCAAATGTTTTCCATATATATATATTCTATAGCACTAAGATTAATTAACTAAAGGTAAATTTTATTTCTAAATTAAATATCAAAGCATAATAAATTTAGAGGCTGGTTTCACTTTTAGTCAAAACATGCAAGCATAGAAATAAACAAACTGTTTTGTAAATGCTTAAAAATGAGCAGGTATCTGTTTATATAGAGAAACATTGTCTTAAGGGTTTATTGCTGTGAAAAGACACCATGACCAAGGCAGGTTTTATAAAGGACAACATTTAATTGGGGCTGGCCTACAGTTTCAACAAGGCAACATCCAGGCAGACATCATGCTGGAGAAGGAGCTGAGTTCTACATCTCAATCCCAAGGCAGCAGCAGGAGAGGTTTCTCTGCAGGCAGCCCAAGCCAGTGTCTCATCCGTACTGGGCGGAGCCTGTGCATAGGAGGAAACCTCAAAGCCTGTCTACACAGTGACACACTTCCTTCAGCAAGGCCACACCTCCTATTACTGCTACTTCCCATGGGCCAAGCATATTCAAACCACCTCAAACATAAATACATACATAAAATGTGTATTTGTTAACAATGTCTGCCTTACACAGTGCTGGAAAATGGCATCTCGTGCTTCACTGCCCGTTAGGTGGTTTCATTGTCCACACTATAACCCCAGCATAGGGGATGTGCAAACGGGAGCATTACAAATTCAGAGTCATTGTCAGCTACGTAATGGGTTTGAAGCTAGTCTGGGATGCATCAGACTCTGTCTCAAAAAGCAAAATTTAAAAAGAATCTCCTTCTAAAGCTGGATAACAGCTAAATCATTAAATAAAATGACCACAGTTCTTTAACCTGGTAGCTTCCAAACTTGAGTACATATGGGAATTACTGGGGTGGAGGCTAAAATTCATGTGACTGGAATATCTCTCAGAGTTCTGAGTACGTCTTGATGCCCAAGAATTGGACTTTCTGACAAATTCCAGGGATACGGTTTGCTGCAGGTTCAGAGACCAAAGCTCGGGAAGTATGATGAAGTTAGACTTCACCGTGCATCTGTAAGCCTCTTCTGCGTAGCCTGGCTTGTCCCTACTAGATCTGAAGCCTGTCTTAGTTCATTTGTTATTACTATGAAATATTTTAAGGAGATCATCTTCAGGGAGAATGGGTTTATTCTGGTTCACAGTTCAAGAGTACAGTCAAGGCAACAAGAACTTGAAACAACTGTTCACATGGTATCTACAGTCAGGAGAGAGATGAATGGACCACCTGCTCAGCTTCCGTTCTCCGTTTACACAGTCCAGGCTCCCAGCCAGGCTGTGGTGCCCTGCCCCCCACACACGGTACGCAGGTCTTGCCTTCGTAATTAGCATAATCAGGAAACTTGACTCTAAACTCTGCCAAGTTGATCATTGACTCTCCCTGTCTCAAAGGCAGGGAACTCTTAAAGAGGATTGCAAGATCTTGGAGAACTGAGGAATATCTAAGGTTTTTAAAATGATCATACAAACTCCCTCACAGCACCCGCCCCCTTCCATGGTTACTTTAAGAAAGAAAATTCCCTTAACTTCTCAAACGTCACAGAGATCATTTCAGACCTTTTGGGTGTGTGCCCTTCTGCTCTCTGTTCCAGCTGACCAAGACAGGCCTGGGGCACCTATCATGTGATTTAGGGTGGGTTCACACTCCATTTGCTCTCAGATGGAAATATCCAGTATGGACTCCCAAGGTTCATTGTTTCTTTTGAAGTCATAAATTTGATGACTTTTCAGAAACCAGAGCTGTAAAGCTAATCTCTAACATAAGTGAGACTTAGAATTTTGCTCTATTAAAGGAGAAATCACAAGCTGTAGTAGTCTCGTGAACTTCAAAGTATGACACAGGAATACTGGATCAATTCTCTGTGTGATAGAACAGAACACTTCACACTGGAGCCCATCTGTCTGTCTGTCTTGTTGTGAATCACAGAGATCAAATTTCTATCCCCGTTACCAAGTGAGTTTGAGCTTTAACTACAGAAATGTAGTTAAGTTGAAAAAGTGGGTCTCACTACATCAAACTGTCTCCTCAGTGGACTCTTGATTACTTTAACCATATACCCTCCTAACTTAGGGATAAAAGTCTGATATCTTTTCGACTCAAAATGAGGGTATGGTTTCATATGTCTCTCAGATACCTGTAGTAATAAAATCCTCAAACATGACCAAATTATCATGTAAAAGAGACATTCCAAACACCCACCCTATTGGCACATTTGTTAAAATTACAGAGATACCTGCTCTCAGGATGAAGGAGGATCACCATGAATTTAAGGCCAACCTTGGCTACATAAGAGGGTTCTAGGCCAGTCAGAGCTACACAGTGAGCCTGTCTTTAAAAAACAAACAAACAAACAAACAAACAAAAAGTTGAAAACAGATTTGAGTTTCACTTTGTTAGCTTTGGAGGTGCTAACAGACAAGTTCTTAGTTCAGTTAGAGGCAGAGAAGGAAAAAGGACAGAGACCAGGCCCTTCTATCGTAATATAGCCATGCACACAGCTGCTTCCCACTTCCCCAAACATGGCCATATCGAATGCCAGGAAAATGCTTTTTTTCTCTGGGCTGGTTCCTCTTCCCCAGCACATTCCTGGCAAGCATCTGATTGGTTCAGGGATACCAAAGTGAGGAGGCCAAAGTCTTCCTCAAACCAGAGTGTGAGTTCAGGAGTGAGAGACGTGTCCCAAAGTCCGTGTCACAAATCTATCATTTTAGCATGCCGATTGCCAGGCCATGGAGCGGTACAGTTAGAGTCCCCATCTATGGCTCACTCCATCTATGCTAGGGCAAACATAACAGCAGCAATATGGCACACAACACGGAAAGAGGTTTGATGGATTCTTGATCATTCTCTTCACTGACTCCCGGCTGAAAGCCAATGGGACAGTCATTTCAGCTCCATTCAGCTTAGCTCGATAGTTCAGGGTCTTTCACTTCCTTAAAACTGTGAGCCTGACTTACAGGAGAGCCCTCGTAGCGAGACATCCCTGCTCCAGCCTGCTCTGCTGACAGCTGTTAATAATCACCCTCATCTCTTTTCTCCTCTTGTTCTTCAGCCTCCCAGAAACCCAGTCTCCTCTCTCCCTTTGAAAGCCCTGTATCAGCCAACTGTCCATCCCTCATCCCTCGTCCTGTGCTCCCAGTTCAGCCTGTTCATACACTGTTCCTCTGCTCCATGCCTTCTCTTTCTCCTCGTCCTCACCATTAGACCATAAGGAGCCTCCCAGTCCTCTTCAGGCCTTCCTTGCTTCTTACATTTTTTTGGCCCCTGTGGCTAATCCTCATTAATTTATAATAGATGATGGGTTTTTTCTTCAGTAATTCTTCTTTTTGTCTCTGGTCATGAGGTCCCTTTCAATAGTATGGCAAAACCCATAAAGATTAGGTTCTTAGGGAGACAGACTTCCAGGTTCTGTTTCCTTTGGCATCTGCTTTTTTCTCTCCAGTATAAACCTAGCTGTTTCCTTCCCTGTTACAGTTTACAGTGGGGTTTCATTGACAGTCTGTCACGTGATCTCTGTGTAAAGAAATAGTATCAATGTTACCCTCACTTTGAAGTCTGACAAGCACTGTTCTCTGAATGATGAATTATTTGTCCACAGTTCTGAACCAAGGAAACAGAAGTACACGGCCCCATACCCAAGTCTTTGAATCCTAAGTACTTCCTGTTCTCCTGACAACCACCCACTCTGAAATCTATCATACTTAATAAATGTTGACGGAATGATAGTGTGAATTATTAGTGTGGGAGTGTCACCAGGCCACATTCAAGTAGGGATTAAGCATTTTGAAACCATGTATATAATTTTTTTGTTTTGTTTTGTTTTTCGAGACAGGGTTTCTCTGTGTAGTCCTGCCTGTCCTGGAACTCACTCTGTAGACCAGGCTGGCCTCGAACTCAGAAATTCGCCTGCCTCTGCCTCCCAAGTGCTGAGATTAAAGGTGTGCGCCACCACTGCCCAGCGAAACCATGTATATAATTAATGAAATGTTTACAGGATAAATTCAAAAACCTTAAACTTAAAAATATATGTGTAATAAAAACTTATCTAAGAAAGTCAGGTTGACTTAAAGAGTCTGAGAAGAGGGGATAACCTTAAGGGGCTCATATGGGGCCTACCCAAATGAGAGTTCTTGACCAGAGGTTAAACTTAACCCTCCAGGTCAGCTGGCTGACATATGTCTGCTGCCTGGACTGGAATCAGGGCTCAGAGCATGGTGAGCTATGTCCCCACCCCACCATGTGACCTTTGACTAAGATAAGTCCCTGACGGAGCTCTGGGCTCCTCTTCCTTATCCATCCTACAGAGTGGTGAACGGGAAGGTTCCTGAGGTTTCCTCTGGCTGTGACATTCTGACAGTCTATGAATAGCAAGGACACAAGACAGGTGCGAGCCGATTGCCACGTGGGAAGCTCACACCTGTCTCTCCCCGGTGTTTCCGCCCCTTGCTTCCAGCAGTGCCAAACTCCAGGCCCAGTCAGGGTCAAGTTGCCAATTTTGAAACTGTTCAAGGACAGTTGTCCTTCTGCGTGGGGCTCCTTTGAGCCCAAACTGGCCTTCTTTCTACTCTGCAACTCACTCTGCCCTAAGTTACTGGACTGTGTGTCACCATTAATTGATCTCTGTTTCCTCTTTCAGATTAAAATCACTCACAAAAACCAGGCACCTATGATGATGGGGCCTCCCCAGAAGAACAGCTTATTTTCTCTGAGGAGGAAAAGCCGTTCAAAAGACTAAACAAACACCAGCTCTACCGAGAAAGAAAAGAAGAATCTACACACACACACACACACGCACACGCACACGCACACGCGCACGCGCACGCACACGCACACGCACACGCACGCACACGCACGCACACGCACGCACACGCACGCACGCACGCACAGCTGTGACCAGAGGAAGCAAAGCCACCTTCCAGAAGAAAGTCTAATCCTGCCATGCAGTCTACCTATTTTGAAAATGGATCCACTCTTAACAGAGCCAATACCCATGAAGTATCCGAATGGACTCGGGGCCCACAAAGATGGGTTGGCTCTTAACAGCAACTTCCACATTCCCACAGGCTTTGGGTAGACTTTGAGCCTGAAGGAGAAATCTCCCTTTTTCTGCACCACGCTCCTGTAAGGCTCCAGGCTGTAGGTTTCCTGCCTACAGCGAGATCGGATGTGGTCAAGGGAAAGAGCTCCAACCCAGAAAACTTGCACAAAAGTCCTTCTGTACAAAAACAAAACAGTCTACAGCTCTCCAAGCAAAATCCTTGGCAGGGCTCAGCGAGCACAGGATGGTTTCTTTGCTGTCCTTAAGCAGCGGCTCCTCCCTTAACTAGCAGAGGAAAGCCAAGAATCTGTGGAAAGCCATTTCCATTCTTGGTTCCCTCTGCTGTCCGTGGGTACTTGTTCACTTCCTGAAGCATCTCATGGTGGCTGTTTTGCTTAGAGAGCAAACAAGGCTGCCCGGGCAGCATGCTTTAGATGTGGTATTTATTTTCATAGTTCCTATGAATACTCGGGCGGGAGAGCTGAGAAAGTGGACTTTATTTTTCAAGTCGATGTTATAATATTGTGTAAAAAGAAAAGAAAAACCCACTCCCAGTATTCCCCACTCCTCGCTACCATACAAGCCAAAGTGTGTCTCTTTGAATCCCAAGCCCTGGTAGGAGAGACAGTGGGGTGAGGAGTGGGTAGGGGGCTTTGCTGGGAAAACCAGGAGACAGTCTGTCAGGGGATTCCCTATTTCTTTGCACATCCCACTTTTACAGTGTGGCAGAAGGGCCTTCTGATGGTCTTCTATATGTACATGTAGCTATATGTTTGTATATAATATATAAATATTTATTTACTGCCGGACTTTTCCTGATTAGAAGTAAACATCGTGTGGAAACAGAGTGTGAGAAAGAAAAAAAGAAGGCCCTTACTCTCCCACTGTCATTTGCTTTAGAGACTCATTTCTCTGGCTGGTTTCAAGGTTTACGAGAAATATCTACATCCAGGGAGCAACCATGAAACACATGTCATTCAAGCCTCACTCCCCCCATTGGTTGATAAGGAAACTGAGTTGTGGAAAAGTTAAAAGACTTCTCCATTATATCTTGGCTAAGGAGGTTAGACTGTAAATGTTACTAAGAAGGTCACTAATAGACAACCAGCATCTGGGAAGAGGGTTATTTCTCATCACTGAGGATTGATGAGAATTGATATTGTGGATCCAGATTTCCAGGGAGAACCATCATATAGCATGTGTGTGGATGGAGCTAGCCCACACAAGAAAATGGGAGGTAGAGAATTAGGCTAATTTCCAAGTTTTTCATGGCTTGTCCTATGTGGAGAGAAGTTGTCCTGATGTTGAAGGCACCAGACCAACTGATTGAACTATCATGTCACCTCATCATGGTCACCAGATCTTCTTGCCTTGGATACATTCCTGGCTACATATGTGACTTCTGTAAGATGTTCCCAACGAGGACAGAACAGTCTTGGTCATGCTCAGTGGACTTCAGTCAGCGTCTTCCTCCTCTCCGGAAGACAACTCTACACAGCATCATTGGTAGAAAGCAACCTTGGCCTCAGCCCCCTGGCTCACCTGGACCTTCATTTCTGTCTCAAATTTCTCAAGAGGAAATCTGGGCCCAGTTGGTATCACTCCACTGAGATGCCTCTAATCTTGCCACAGACTAGGGAGGGAATATGAAGAGTCTGTACAAATTGAGCCCACTTCTGAAGGAAGCACTCATCTAGAATCCAGGGCTGAGACTTGGAACCCTCCTGCTCCACAGACGTGCTTCTACTGAGCAAGGGAAACCCCAGGCCACATGAAGAGCATCCTGGGGGGATGCTCGGAGATGTGACCAACCAGCTCCCAAGTGACAGCAAGTACTACCTTGGAAGCCACTTGATTCAGAAACTGAGGCAGGCTCAACTTCAAGGTCATTGATGCCAAAAAATTTACAGAAATGCTTCAGCTCTGATCTCCCGAGGTTACAGATGTTGAGACAGTACCATAAGTAGGTGAAATGAATTCCCAGAGACTCACAAGTCTCTTGATGGGGCCCTGCAGAAGTTAAATGTTATTTCAGAGACACAGCCCAGTCCTTTTCAGAGGCACAGAGTATAAAACTTCATGGCATTGCACTTCTGATTTGCTAATCTTAGTAAATCTTGTGTTGTTGTTTAATCTTACCTTACAAATCATCTTTTAAACACCATGGCTGTGGTTTCCTATTGTGTAGCACATCATCCAAGTGACCCCCATGCCAAGCTCTAAGGTTAGACGACAAGGTATTATCTACACCCTACAGAGGAGAATGGAGCTTACTGGTGTTTAGTAGCTTCTTAAAGCTACATGGTCAAGGGAGAGCCTGGTCCCATCTGTCTTATCCTGCTCAGATTCTTTCTACGCTGCAGACATGTTCTCACCTGCTTTCATGCTTCCACCCCACTAGCAATAAAAACAATGAAACCGGAAACCTTTGCTGCGCCTTGTCGCTGGGCTGATGGGTTAGGAACTGTGGCTCTGTGTGCTGTGGTTTTCATGGGATTTCCCCGGTGAGTTGAGAATGGAGACAGAATTTGTAGGATGATTATATTCGGGTCACAGACCAACTCCTCTCAAGAGAGTTCATTCTACAGATGGGGAAAAAATACATTAAATTGCCAAATAAATTAGGAAATACTTGGCAGAGCCTTACAGAGCATCCAGACTGTCGTTATATAACATGCATATATATGTATATATACTATACATATGCACATTATATAAGGTGACATAGTACTTAATGTGCTGTATATATTATGTAAATTACAGATCTGTGAGTAATCATGATAAATATAGAGACCTACTAATCACTTTTTTACACATACTCAGTGACAGATTAGAAAGTTGCTTTGCCAGAGAGTCTTAAAACTTACTCTCCCCTGCTGCTTTGGTTCCAACTCCTGCCAAAAATAATTACATCAACTTTCCCCATCTCTAGCCCCCTCTTCTCTTAGCCAAAACTCTCAGTTACCTTCTGTCCCAGCTCAACTGTGCCTTCCTTAATACTACCACAATCAGGATCCACAAAAATACTGAGTCCTAAGGATAAGCAGGATCTAGACTCCCAGCTTCCCTATGTCAGAGGCTTACATCGCAACATTCTGAAGCAGGTGGGTGTCTGATGTCAACATTAAATGAAGGGAGACTCGGAACAGGAAGGGAAGGAGCCTGCCAGCCCTCTGAGGAGGGAAAGCATACAATCACACTCAGTTACTAGCTCTAGGCTCCAACAGAACTCAGTGAGAACATAGCTCTGAGAGTTTAGTTAAAATTAAAATGATCTCACATATCTAGTCTAAGACTTTACACCCTATCTGAAACTGTAACTTTCTAGAATATTACTCACAAAACACTAGTATTCCTAAAATGTTGTATGAAAGGGCTGAGGAGAATAAAACCACATGCTGTGCAAGCCTGGTCCCCCAGTTAGAGCTCTGGAACCCACCTAAAGGGAAGAAAAGAAGGCTGGATGGGTGGGGTGGACCCCTGACCCCCCCATGTGAACATTATGGCATGCATGCGCACACACGTCACACAAATATACACAATAGTAATAATTATTTTAATATTCCATGAAATAAAAAAAAAGTTCTCTATTCAAACACTAGATGCCTTCTAAGAACTACATGGAGAGGCTTAGAGAAACTACAAGGGGGGATATGGAGGGCAGAGAGATGACTCGGCAGTTACAAACACTTGCTACAATCCAGTTCAGTTTCCAGCAGCTCACGGTTATCTATATCCCGGGTTCTAGAGGATCCCGCTCCCTCTGCTGTCCCTGAGGGCACTAATTGTGAATGTGGTACTCATGCAGGCAAAACATTTGTCTTGGTTACTTTCCTAGTCCTGTGAAGAGACATCCTGAAGGCAAGTTACAGAAGAGAGCATTTCACTAAGGGTTTGCTTACACTTTCAGAAGGGAAGTCTGTAAGCCAATGGCAGGAACATGGCAAGAAGCAGATATAGTATTGGAGCGGTAGCTGAGAGCTTACATCTGATCTGCAAGTTGGAAGCAGAAAGATTGAGACAGACAGATGCACAGACACACAGATTGGGGTTGGGGTGGGCTGTTGAAACCTCAAAGCCCAACCCAAGTGACACACTTCCTCCAAAAAGACCACACCTCCTAATTCTTTCCAAACAGTTCTGTCAACTGCGGACTGAGTATCCAAACGTGTGAGCCGGGCGGGGGGGCATTCTCATTCAAGTAATATTTTAAATATTATTTTATATATTATATTTATATATAAATATATATTTTATAAATATATAATATAAAAATATATTCATATTATATATACTAAATATATATAAATAAACAAGCAAACAATAAGCCATGGAGTTTTCTGTCCCCCTAAGAAACCAGTTTTTATTGTTCTCAAGTGAACATGGAAGTAACCACTCTCTGAATTAATATCCCCAAAAATGCTTTTCTAGGAAAAGAAGCTCTATCTTTAAAATGGTTTTCTTTGCACATTTGTTTGTTTATAAACAGTTTCTGCTTTTCGACATGGAGGGCGTGCACAAGGTGAGTCTTTCCATGTTGCCAAGGCTGGCCTTGAACCTGGCTCAAATAATAATCCTGGCTCAGTCTCCTGAAGATTTGAGAGGACAGGGTACCAAGTAAGAATCCCTTGTTTCCTTTATGTTAGTGTCTGTCTTTCCTATTATGATCTACACATCTTTAAGCAAGAATCAAGGATCTGCACTCTGTCTCTCAAGTGTGGAAAGGACTAGAAAGGAGATTTAAAGA